GAAAGAGATGATTTTGGATGTCAGCTGAATTGTTTAAAAATGTAGCTGAGATTTCTACAGCATTAAAAGGAGGGGACTTACTCATTCTGAAATTATTAGTGAGGATTCAAACACCAGGTCCAAAATACAGATAATCCTCAATTTAGGACCACAGTAAATTTCCATTGCTAAGAAAGGCAATGGGAGGATGGAGGCATACTCAATTTTGTGTCCCTTTTTGCCATGGTGACTAAGCGAATCACTGCAATTGTTAAGTGAATCATGGGTTGTTAAGTGAATCCGCCCTCTCCCATTGACTTTGCTCATCAGAAGCCACCTTTGAAGGTCACATGTGTGATCACCTGACCCCAGGATGCTGCACCCATTGAAAATACATGCCGGTTGCCAAGGGCTCAAATTTTGACCCCTTGACCGTGAGGATGCCACAACAGTCATAAGTACGAGGACTAGTCATAAGTCACTTTTTTTCAGTGCTGCTGTAACTTTGAACAATCACTACTCGAATGGTTGTAAGCAGAGGTGGTATTCAGCCAGTTCGGATTGGTTCAAGCGAACCAGTAGCGGAAATTTTAACTGGGGCGCCGAACCGGCAAATACCACCTCTGGCTGGCCCCGCCCCTGCCTGCTCACCGCTCGCCAGCCCCACCCACCCACTCGCCACACAAGGTGCACCCCACCTTGCCGTGAGTGATGTCAAGTTGGCCACGCCCACTCAGTCACACAACCCCCACCCAACATAGCCACACCCACAGAACCGGTAGTAAAACAATTTGAATCCCACCACTGGTTGTAAATCAAGGGCTACGTGAACTGAAACATTTGCTGACTTTGATACGTGATCCATTTCTGTATTTCTGTTGTCTTCTCTTCAAGGAAGAAAAAGCTTTGGGATGGGATAATGCGTGTGACCAGACGATCAAAACTGCCTTTTTATAATGTGTTTTTGACATTGTAAAAGGGCGGGGCTTAGATTGCCCAATTGCACCCACCATTTTGATTTCCCCGTCTGTAAAAACCCCTGGCTCCGAGTAACTAAAAAATGTGGACTTTAAGAACATTTGTTTTTTTTTTCTTTCTGAAGGATCATCATCTCCTTTTAATGACCACATAATCCCTTGCGGAGTGGAGTCTGGGCAACTAAATGGAGCTGAGTGTTTACTGGCCGGATATCATTCCTGTCGCCAATGCGGAGTTTTGTTCAACATAGTGAGGGAGGGGTCTTGCCCAGGGATGGGTTCTAAAAATTTTTACTACCGGTTCTGTGGGCGTGGCTTATTTTGTGGGCGTGGCTTGATGGTCATGTGACAATTATTTAGGCTTTAGCAGAGGTAGTGGTCTACCAGGCTTTTAACTGCTTGCAGAGCTGTACCGATCTACCCATTTATTTTTTGCAGGCACTGATCTACTAATGTATTTTTGCAGGCACTGGTCTACTCATTTGTTTTCTTTAAACACTGATCAGCTGTAGGGCGGCCCTTTGAAGCCCCATGGCAAGAGTTTAAACAGTTTTTTTCCCTCTAGCCATCAGCTGGAACTCAGGAGGCAGCAATAGATTGGGGGTGGGACCAAATAAAAGGTAAGAGAACATAAAGCAAGGTGGCAATTCTGCCAGAAGCTTCAACCTTCCTAGTGGCATATTTCCACATTCCTAGCTTTGGTGCTGCATTTTGATTCCATAACAATACCTAAACAAGTTACAAATTACCCATTCATTCTGTATTCTTTTAACTGCCCACCTTTTTTAGCCCTGAAGAAAGCATAACCGCCATTCTTTGCTAGCCTTCGCTTTTAAGGATTCAGAATTCTGGTCCATTTGACAGGACCTGACCTCCTTTTATCATACACTTAGCCATATATTGTCCTCTCCCTTCCAGCCTTGATTCTTCAGTAGCCTTTTAATGTTCCATTTGGTTGAGTTCCTCCTCTGTCACACAGTTCTTGGGAGGAAACAATTCCTTGTGACCAGAGGGCTGTAGCTGGTTTGCATTTTAGGAAGACTTGTATGGCTTAAGGCTCTGATACTCCTTACTTACTTAGCTGTGGTAAATTCAGTGTCCACTTGCTCACTCCACCAAACACCTCCTTCTTCTTTTAGTTCTCCACCACAATGTCCTTTCCCTCTTCCACCAGTCCCCTGTGTCTTTCGGGTAGGGTTTTCTTTTTGTAGTTTTGCAGGTATCTAGTCTCATGAAATAGGAAGATTAGGGCTGATGTGATAGCAATCTTCCAACATTTGAGGTGCTGTCGCAGAGAAGAGGGGCTCGACCTCTATTCCAAAGCATCTCAAGTAAAAGAGATGCTTATCAAAGAGAGATCCAAGCTAGAATTAAGGGGGTGGGGCAGAATTCATGACAGTTAGAATAGTTAGAAACAGATAAAACTGACAGCAGTGATCCATTGAATCTGCCCTTTGAGTTTATTCACTTTTTGTTTCTTTTTAATTTTATTTAGTTGTTTAATTATTTAATTGTTCTTTAGTTATTATTTTTATTATTGATTTACTTCTATTTATTTTTTTCGGATGAAGGACATCTTTATCCCAAGCCTACTTAAAATCAGTTACTGATGATTGACTGACTATCTCTGTTGGAAGTTGGTCCGAGCTTCCACTACTGTTTCTGTGAAGTAATTCTTTGATATTTTTGTAGGTAGACATCATTCTCATGAAATGGTGGTGAAGAAGTCATGATACGAAATGCCCAATGTGAAAAAGAAAAGTTTGAAGTTTTTGGGAAGGACTTAAAAATTGGGTGTTATTCCTGACTGCTGAGATCTCCACCAAGGAACCCCTTTTAGATTCTCAGATATATACAGACCTCCTAAGATGATGGCCATCACAAAATGATAGAAGCCATAATGTCTCATTTGTGTCTTTCAACCAATTATTCCAATTTCTGAACGTCTCTGTCAGACCTGAAGCCATTTTGGAAATCTTCAGGGCTGCCACAGTAAGATCTGTTGCAGCTGTGGGAACTTAAGGGGGGAGGGAGATAGAGATAACTGGGACTTTGATTTGGGTGGGGAAAACCTCGGGTCCTTCAGAGTCAGCTTCTTCCTAATAAATTCTTACTTTGAGGAAACTCCAGGCCTCGGAGTTTTGATTTCGTTGGGTCTGTTACTTGGAATCCTGACAGTCTCTTTTCCCTCAGCTTCTTCCCTGTTTGAGGAATGTCCAGTTCAACAACAGTGCTGGAGATGAAATCTCCTTCTCAGAAAATGGACTCGGGTCTGCACGTTATGATCTTCTCAACTGGATTTTCTTCCCCAATTTATCTTTTGTCCCTGTGAAAGTTGGGCACATTGATCCTGAGGCTCCCCCAGGCCAAGATTTCACCATCAACTCTAGTTCAATTGTCTGGACAAGAAAGGTGAGCTGGAAGTTTAAATAATTCAGTAAAAGACAAATTCTCTTCTAGGGATTCAAGATATTCTCCTTACTGTAAAACAGGTGACCGAATCAAAGCTTCAGCAAGTATTTGATGAAAAACTTGTTTTTCATGTAACATATTTGAAGTCTGGTTTGTGACAGATGAAAAAGGGTGGATATCAGGAAGAAATTCTGGTTGAAACCCAGGATGCAGATGGAGCAGCCAAGAATGGTTTACATGGACCATTCCCATTCAGTTGGATCTCCATCACTGCTTGCTTCAAAAAAGCTGTAGCTCAATTCACAAGGCTTCTTTAAAAAGAAAAAAAAGTTTTATTAAATTTTTCTTTTACATACATATTTTATGAACAGAGTATTGACTGGCTCACATCTTATACAACTTATAACATAGTTATATATTGATATCTATTCCAATCTTCTTTTTTGTTTTTTCATATTTCAATTTCTGCCGTAATATTCTTTTTCCCTACTTATTTATCTTATCTTAATCTCTTTTTAATGCATAATATATAAACATTATTATCTATATAGTCTCTTTTTTATTTCCAGATAATATCCATTTCAAATGTTGGTCCAATCCACTCCAATTTAAAGCTTTGTGCATTTCACCTCCTATAAAAGTCAAGACCAAGCAGTTTAAAATGTAACAAATACTTCTTAAAGTTTCTCATAGTTCTTTCAGTGATCAAGGTCACTGCTGTTATTTCCTTCAATTTTCAGGCCTGTCGTTGGGGGCAGGGATTTTTGCTACCAGTTCTCCGAACCACCCGCCTCCATCGCTACCGGATCGGTCTGAACCGGGAGCATTTCACTCCTGGTTTTGCTATTCCCTTTCCCTGTTATGTTCGCTTGTATTTTAACGTTTGACTTTGAAATTTAATAAAGATTTTTTTAAAAAAAAGGAAATGGGAAAATATCATAGGCAGATCTGTTACCTGTCTACCTGTTACATTACAGGTAGTCTTCGGCTTACAGCCCAAAATTTCAGTTGCTGAGCCAGACACTTGTTAAGTGAGTTTTGCCCCCATTTTATGACCTTCCTTGACACAGTTGTTAAGTGAATCACTGAGGTTGTTAAGTAAGTAACACGGCTGTTAAGTGAATCTGGCTTCATCCCAGTGACTTTGCTAGTCATAAGGTCGCAAAAGGGGATTCCAGATTTGGATCATGTGACCGTGGGGACGCTACAAGGGTCATTCAATGTGAAAAATGGTCATAAGTCAGGTTTTTTTCAGTGCTGTTTTAACTTTGTGCCTTGGTGGCGCAGCAGACTAAAGTGCTGTTAAGTAGCACGAGCTGCCTGCAATTACTGCAAGTTCGAATCTCACCAGGCTCAAGGTTGACTCAGCCTTCCATCCTTCCGAGGTAGGTAAAATGAGGACCCGGATTGTGGGGGCAATAAGCTGACTTTGTATAAAAAAAGAATATAGGGTGGGGGCCGAAAGCCCTACTAAGCAGGTATATACAAAAGTATGAAGGCTATTGCTTAACGCATTGTAAGCCCCCCTGAGTCTCCAGAGAAGGGCGGCATATAAATTGAACCAATAAATAAATAAATAAATAAATAAATAAATAAATAAATAAATAAACAAACAAACTTTGAACAGACACTAAACGAATGGTTGTAAATCGAGGATTACCTGTATACAATCACCACCTGTGAGGCCGCCTCTTGTTTCATGTTCCACTTTTTTTAAAAAGAAAAGTAAACATAAGGAAGAATGAAGAAGCTTCTTGGATGAGAAGCGAAACGTCTTCAAAGAAAAACCAGAAAGTCCGGTTGCCTCTTGGAAAAAAAGCACCTTTGGGACAACCAGGACCTGGAGGACTGAGAACCTCCGTAGACATAAGGAAGAATGGCTCACCAGATTTAGGATTGCACTCCACAGCAGGCACCAGTCCCAGGTTTGGGGAGAGGTTGTAATAGAGACTGGATCCTCCAGCCAAGGAGGTCACACTGCTTCTTCGGACAGCCGAGACAATTTTGATTTCCTTATTAGTTTGGACTGAAAAATAAACAGTGTCATGCTTAGTGCAGAGACATTGACCACTGGACAATGCAAATGGATTCTCCACAACAGGGGTGGGTTCTACTTAGCTTTACTACCGGTTTGCAACGGGATTGGGATCCCGCTCGCGCTCGCGAAGCTTCTGCGCATGCACAGATCGCCGATGATGACATCCAGGGTGGTCGGCGGGCCTCCTGCCGGTTTTACTACCGGTTCTTGTGAACCGGTCCAAACCGAGGGCAACCCACCACTGCTCCACACCCTTATTATGGCTAAAAGACTAATATGCACGGTAAAGATAGGTCTATGGTCCCCTATGGTTTTTTCCATTCTACTTTTTCACTTATTTTTAAGCACTTATTACGCATTTTTATAACCTATGTTATACAGCCTTCTCTGTGGGGGCTCCTGCCCTTTGGAATGAATTGCCCCCCGAGATGCGGAGGATTCCCGATTTACGCACTTTCCGCCAGGCCCTCAAGACGCTTTTATTCCAACAAGGCCGGCTGGCCTAATTTTTTAAATTTTTTAATTGTCAATTCTTAATTTTTAAATGTCTAAATCGGGTGGTTTTATTTTAATTAGATATGGGCCAAACTATTTAATATTTTTTTAAATTGTTTTTAAATTTTATATTTGTGTGTTTTGTGCTGGCTGTACGCCGCCCTGAGTCCCTTTGGGAGAAGGGCGGTATATAAATAAAATAAAATAAAATAAAATAAAATAAAATAAAATAAAATAAAATAAAATAAATAAATAAATAAATAAATATTTGGATGTTGGGTTCCTGTATTGTTTTTTTCTTTCTCTTGGGTGTGTCTGTCTCTCTGTCTGTAAATTTATGCGGCATTTGACCAAAACTGCAGCATTTCACATTCTGCTGTGAAACGAGTTTTATTTCTTTAGCCTTTCCAGATTAATAAATAGCATTCTTTTCTGAATCTGGGCAAATTGTAGTCATAGCAATAAGAGCACAGGGTGAAAATATAAATGGATTTGTTGTAGCTCAGGCCTTAGAGCCTAGCCTGCCTTGCTATTCTAAGCAAATTGAGGGCCAGGAGCTGAGATAAGGGAGAATTTGTCCCGATTTCAAATTTTCGTGCAAAAATATATTCAATTGACATCTGCCCGGCATGGTTCCTTAACCACCAGCCACCTGCCTCCTGAAAATCATTTTTTTTTCCCCAAACTGTTTTGTTGACATTCACAGTTCTCTTTTCTATAGCTATTCAAGGAAATATATTCAATAAAATGTATTCTGGAATGCATGCCTTGAAGAAAACCTGCACAACCTCTATATGATATTACGGCAATTTGTTTGGCCCAAATGTGTCATTATTAAAAAAAATTTTAAAAAGTAGGAGCAAAATCGAATACTTTGGGTGAAACATGTTCAAACAAGCATGCATATTTTCCGCAGGCCGTTAATGGAGAAAGTATACAAGCCCAGGCTTTGGCAGATTCTCCTTTATTTGGAGAATACGATTTGCAAAGCAGGAAAAAACAAACAAACGTGAGAATATTAGGAATGTGCAGTTTTTCCAAAATTGGTTTTTCATGCATGTATATGCATGTATGCATTTATGTATTAAATAAATGGGTATTCCAGCCCAATTCACACATAGGTGATGGCAGGTGTCTTACAACATTTAATTATTATTTTTTTTAAATCCATCATCTAAGGAATGCCAATGATAGCAGAATTGTTTTCATGGAGAGATAAAATAGTCATTCCAGAAGTGCTGGGGTAAATGAAGAGGTAGAGCTGGATAAGGGAACCAGAGGGATGTCTTATTCAAGGGATATTTGTCCTTCTCTATTCCTCCTTCCTTCTCCTTCCTTCCTTCTTCTCCTTCGCCTTTCTTTTCCTCACTCCTTCTCCTTCCTCCTCCTGCTCTTTCCTTCATTTTCTTCTATTCCTCCTTCACCCTTGCACCTTCCTCCCCACTTTCCTTCCTTTCTTCTTCCTTTCCTTTCCTCCTATTTTTCTCCCTCCTTTCTTTTCTTTTCCTTTCCTCTACTTCTCCCTTCTCTTTCTTTCCAACCCTCTCCCCTTCCCTTCCCTTTCCTCTACTTCTCCCTTCTCTTTCGTTCTTCTTCCTTTTCTTTCCTTCTTCCCTCTACTTCTCCCTTCTCTTTCCTCCCTCCCTCTTTCCTTTCCTCCTATTTTTCTCCGTTTCCTTTCTTTTCTTTTCTTTTCCTTTTCTCCTATTTTTCTCCCTTTCCTTTCTTTTCTTTTCCTTTCCTCCTATTTTTCTCCCTTTCCTTTCTTTTCTTTTCCTTTCCTCTACTTCTCCGTTCTCTTTCTTTCCAACCCTCTCTCCTTCCCTTCCCTTCCCTGTCCTCCCTTCTCTTTCCTTCCTCCTCTTTTCCTTTCCTTCTTTCCTCTACTTCTCCCTTCTCTTTCCTTCCTCCCTCCCTCCCTCTTTCCTTTCCTTTCCTCCTATTTTTCTCCCTTTCCTTTCCTTTCTTTTCTTTTCCTTTCCTATTTTTCTCCCTTTCCTTTCTTTTCTTTTCCTTTCTTCTGCTGCTCCTTTCTCTTTCCTCCCTCCTTCCCACTTTCCTTTCCTTTCCTCCCTTTCCTTTCTTTTCTTTTCTTTTCCTCTACTTCTCCCTTCTCTTTCTTTCCTCCCTCCTTCTTTCCTTTCCTTTCCTTTCCCTTCTTTTTTCTTCTACTTCTCTCTTCTCTTTCCTTCCTCCCCTCTTTCCTTCTTTTTCCTCTCCACTCCTCCCCCCTCTCCTTCCTTCCTTCCTTCCTTCCTTTCCTCCTTCTCCTATTTCCTTCCTGCCCCACTCCCCCTCAATATCTTCAGATGCAGGTACCTGACAAGAAGCTGGAGGGGTCTTGCTCGGGGTTGAGCTTGCGGAGACAGAAGGGGCTGTCGGGACTGTCCGAAAGTGACCTGTGCAAACTTTCACTGAGCAGTTCTGTGAGTCGCCTCCTACGGCGGAAATTGATACGAAACTGGTAGAGGAGATCCCGGTCATAAAAATGGCACTGAGCGGAGACTGTGGAAAGAAAGAGCATACCGGTAGTCCTTGACCTCCAGCCATTCGTTTAGTGACCATTCAAAGTTACAGCGGCACTGAAAAAAGGGCCTAATGACCGTTTGTTCACACTTAACGTCCGTTGCAGCATCTCCATGGTTGTGTGATTAAAAATTCGGCAACTGGCGTTGGTTTTCCTTGTAAGAAGATCCTGGGAAGGTCACAAATAGCAGCCACATGACCGTGGAGATGTTGCAACCTTCAGAAATACATGCTGGTTATCTAGCACCCAAATGTCGATCACATGACCGTGGGGATGCTGTAATGGTCATAAGTGCAAGGACTGGTCATAAGTCGCTTTTTTTTAGCACCTTCAAACAATTGTTAAATGAACGGTCATAAGTAGACAGCTACCGTTATTCAAACCATTATATGCCACATAGCACTTCAGTTAGGGTCCTTGGTGCTCTCTGAGCTTGGTGGTTTTCTTGCCTAGCTTTCATTACCAAGCTAGGTAACATCATCAGTACAAACCCCATTCCCTACTAACGCTGATGATGTTACCTAGTTTGGTAATGAGATGTCTGTAAGAAAACCACCAAGCTCAGAGAGCACCAAGGACCCTACAGATCAACTCTCAGCTACAAATATTCTCGTCTATCCCTTTTTCCCCTGGGAAATAGATGGGGAAGAAATGGAAGTAGTGACAGATTTTATTTTCCTGGGCTCAAAGATCACCGCAGATGGGGACTGCAGCCAAGAAATTAAAAGATGCTTGCTCCTGGGGAGGAAAGCTATGGCAAACCTAGACAGCATACTAAAAAGCAGAGACATCACACTGCCAACAAAAGTGCGTACAGTCAAGGCGATGGTTTTCCCAGTTGCAATGTAGGGCTGTGAAAGTTGGACCATAAGGAAGGCTGAGCGCCAAAGAATTGAGGCCTTTGAAGTCTGGTGCTGGAGAAGACTCCTGCGAGTCCCTTGGACTGCAAGGCCATCAAACCAGTCAGTTCTAGAGGAGATCAATCCTGACTGCTCTTTAGAAGGCCAGATCCTGAAGAGGAAGCGCCAATCCTTTGGCCACCTAATGAGGAGGAAGGACTCCCTGGAGAAGAGCCTAATGCTGGGAACGATGGAGGGCAAAAGAAGAAGGGGACGACAGAGAAGGAGGTGGCTGGATGGAGTCACTGAAGCAGTCGGCCGTGAGCTTAAATGGACTCTGGGGGATGGTAGAGGACAGGAAGGCCTGGAGGAACGTTGTCCATGGGGTCACGATGGGACGGACACAACTTTACAACTAGCAATAACAATATATCCCTTTTTCAGTCTCGTGTGCCAACTTCTCATGGATATTTCCGGTGGCATATACCTTGCTGGATAATCCCGTGTTCAAGGAGGGTTTGGCAGAGCTCCGTAGCTTCCTTCCGGTTGGCGACCTCCCCTTCCTCCACCAGCCAGTCAACCATTTCACACCCCAAAAAGCTCCTCTGGTATTTAACCAGGTTCTCTTCTCTGGCTTTGAGAATGGAGTTGTCCATGCCAATCAGCCTACAGTCAACAGACAAGAAGACACCGAAACAAGGATAGCTCCTGAGTTAAACAAACCACAAATCCTATTCAGACATGCAGCAAATCCAGGTCCAATTGGGCAGTAGTATGTGTGGTCCTCAATTTACAGCAGTTCATTGAGTGACCATTCGAATTTACTACGGCACTGAAAAAAGTGACTCATGAGCATTTTTCACACTTGATCAAAATTCAGACACTTGGCCACTGGTTCATATTTATGGCAGCTGCAGTGTCCCGGGGTCACACAATCCCCTTTTGTGACCTTTTGATGAGTTAATCAATCAGGAAGTCAGATTCCCTTAACAGCTGTGTTACTAAGTTAACAGCTGCAGTGATCCACTTAACAACTATAGCAAGAAAGGTCATAAAATGGGGCAAAACCCACTTCACCAAGGTGTCACTCTAACCACAGAAATTTTGCACTCAATTTGTGGTCGTAAATCGAGGACTACCTGTACTTTAGCAGTCAGGTAAGGAAGGATAAAGGAAAAAAAAAGGTAAAGTTGATTCTGACTCTAGGGGGCACTGCTCATCTCCGTTTCTTAGCCGAGGGACCAGGGGTGAAATGCTCCCGGTTCGGACCGGATCATCCAATCCGGTAGCGATGGAGGCAGGTGGTTCGGAGAACCAGTAGCAAAAATCCCTGCCCCCCCCCATGCCCAGCTGAGCCGCTCGATCATCAGAGGCTTTTTTTTCTTTTAAATGCCTCTGACGATCCCAGCTGAGTTGCCTGATGGCAGAGGATTTTTTAAAAACCCTCTGACGATCACGCAACTCAGCTGGGATCGTCAGAGCCTTTTGAAAGCATTTTTTTAAAACCTCTTCACCGAAGAGTTTGTAGAAAAAATGGTTTTAAAAGTAAAAAAAAAAAATGGAATCATAGAGTTGGAAAGAATCTCAGTGGCTGGCTGGGGCATTCTGGGAGATGAAGTCCAGACAACTTAAAGTTGTCAAGTTTGAGCAAAACTGGCCTAGAGGCCTATCACTTTTTTTTCAGTGCCATTATAATTTTGAACGGTCACTAAACGAGGACCACCTGTAATTCCAAGTAGTGTCAAATGAAAAAACGAGGTGGCAGAAATGCGGTTGTCTATAGTTTCAGAAGGATTCTAATTCATCTATCACCACTGGAGGGCAGTGCAGGCCTATTTTATTCCTCTATTTATTGCTTTAATTTTTGGGCCTTCCAGTCAGGCTTTTTGGCTCCTGACAAGTGCCTGAATTAGTCCTCAGATCTAGAAAGGAATGCAATGCTTCGAATGCTACCAAAGTGACTAGTCCCTGCCGTTTTCTTCCCTCAGTGACACCAATAATGGCAATGACTGAAGAGGGGGGGGGGGATAATTGCCAGCTCTGCAGCAGCAAATTTTGGCATTTCGTCCTACCTTTGCATAGTCACTTAGAGATTTTTTAAAATTATTTTTTATAAATAATTCAAGGCAGTGAACAAGCCTAACGCTCTTTCCTCCTCCTATTTTCCTCACAACAACAACCCTGTGAGGTGGATTGGGCTGAAAGAGAGGATGGCTGGGCCTCAAGTCACCCAGCTGGCTTGCGTGCCTAAAGTGGGACTAGAACTCATAATCTCCTGGTGATTGGCCCAAAGTCACCCAGTCAATTTTCATGCCTTCTTTCTTTCTTTCTTTCTTTCTTTCTTTCTTTCTTTCTTTCTTTCTTTCTTCCTTCCTTCCTTCCTTCCTTCCTTCCTTCCTTCCTTCCTTCCTTCCCAAAAAGGGAGGGAAGAAGGAAAGGTGGAAGGAGATAGGAAATAAGGAGGGAGGGAGGAGATGAGAGGAAGAAAGGAGATGAGAGGGAGGGAGGGAGGAAAGGAAGAGGGGGAGGGAGGGAGGAGATGGGAAATAAGGAGGGAGGAGATGAGAGGAAGAAAGGAGATGAGAGGGAGGGAGGATAGGGAGGGAGGGAGGGAGGAGATGGGAAGAGCCTTAGTAGTACAGTGGTCTAAAGCACCCTGTTATTAAGAACAGCTGCCTGCAATTACTGCAGGTTCGAATCTCGCCAAGGCTCAAGGTTGACTCAGCCTTCCATCCTTTCTAAGATAGGTAAAATGAGGACCCGGATTGTGGGGGCAATAAGCTGACTTTGTATAAATATACAAAAGCATGAAGGCTATTGCTTAACGCATTGTAAGCCGCCCTGAGTCTCCGGAGAAGGGCGGCATATAAATCAAATTTAAAAAAAAAAAGAAAGAAAAGAAGAGAGGGAGGGAGAGAAGGGAGGAAGGGAGGAAATGGGAAGAAAGAAGAAAGGGAGAGAGGGAGGGAGGAAGGAAATGGGAAATAAGGAGGGAGAGAGGAGATGAGATTAAGAAAGGAGATGAGAGAGAGGGAAGGAAGGAAGGAAGGAAGAAAGGGAGAGAGGGAGGGAGGAGATGGGAAGAAAGAAGAGAGGGAAGGAGGGAGGGAGGAGATGGGAAGAAAGAAAGGGAGGGAGGGAATGAAGGAAGAAAGGGAGGGAGGGAGGAAGGGAGGAGATGGGAAGAAGGGAGGGAGGGAAGAGATGGGAAGAAATAAGAGAGGGAGGGAGGGAGGGAGGAAGAAGGAAGGAAGGAAGGAAGGAATTCCCATTTATCTCCTTTCCTACCCCTCAAAATTAAAGCCCAGGGAACTGTAGTTCATGGGTCTCCACCGAAACCTCCGGAGACCAGGAAGGCTGGAGGGCTCACGTACGTCTCGTAGAGGCTTTGTCCTCTCAGGAACACCTTGACTTCCTTGTTGAGCGGGAAGGTCCCATCATCCTTGCGGAAGCGATAGAGCAGCTTAGCGTCCTTGTAGTCCGAATGTTCGTCACACACTGAAAAGCGTTTAAGACAAGTCTTAGCCCCTTCCAAGCTTTGAGGCCCAAGTCAGACCATTCGCTCCCCCAAAAGCAGGCTGGCCTCCAACAGAGACAAAAATGCCAGGTTACATTTGGTATGATACAGGGAGTCCTCGACTTACAACAGTTCATTTAGTGACCGTTGGAAGTTACAATGGCACTGGAAAAAGTGACTTATGACCGTTTTTCAGACTTGCGACCATTGCAGTATCCCCATGGCCATGTGATCAAAATTTAACCGCTTGGCAACTGATTCATATTTATGACGGTTGCAGTGTCCCAGGGTCACATGATCCCCTTTTGTGACCTTCTGACAAGCAAAGTCAAGGGGGATGCCAGATTCACTTAACAACCAGGTTACTAACTTAACAAATGCAATGCTTCACTTAATAACTGTGGCAAGTAAAGTCGTAAAACGGGGCAAAACTCACTTAACAAATGTCTCACTTAGCAACAGAAATTTTGGGCTCATTTGTGGCCGTAAGTCAAGGACTGTGTGTGTGTGTGTGTATCTATAGATAGATAGATAGACAGACAGACAGACAGACTGACAGACAGATAGATAGAGTGGTGGGTTGCTCCCGGTTCGCACCGGTTCGCAAGAACTGGTAGTAAAAATTTGTAGTAGTTCGGCGAACCAGTAATAACATTGGCTGGCCACGCCCCCGAATCGGTCCCCGGCCCAGTTGCCGCTCGCTTACCCCGCCCATCTCATCAGAGGCTTTTTTTTTTTACTTTTAAAAGTATTTTTTCTACAACCTCTTCAGCTGAAAAAATGCTTTTAAAAGTTTAAAAAAAAGCCTCTGATGATCGCACGTCTCAGCTGGGATCTCAGAGGCTTTTAAAAGCATTTTTTCTATAACCTCTTCGGCTAAAGAGGTTGCAGGGGAAAAAAATGCCTTTAAAAGCCTCTGGCGATCCCAGCTAACGTGCCTGATCGTCAGAGGCTTCTAAAAGCATTTTTTTCAGCAACCTCTTAAGGTTGTAGAAAAAATGGTTTTAAAAGTAAAAAAAAAAAAAGTTGGCCACGCCCTCCCAGTCACATTACCCCCCACAAGCCATGCCCACAAAATAAGCCACGGCCACAGAACCGGTAGTAAAAAAATTTAGAACCCACCCCTGGATGGATGGATGGATGGATGGATGGATGGATGGATAGATAGATGATTGATAGGTAGATGATAGAAAAATAAAAAGATAGAAAGATAGATAGATAGATAGATAGATAGATAGATAGATAGATAGATGATAGATAGAAAGATAGAAAGATAGATAGACAGACAGACAGATAGATACTATCTATCTATCTATCATCTATTTATATCTATCTATCTTTCTATCTATCATCTACCTATCTATCTGTATCTATCATCTACCTACCTACCTACCTATCTATCTATCATCTACCTACCTACCTACCTATCTATCTATCATCTATCTATCTATCTGGGATGATAGATAGATAAATGATAGATAGATGATAGATAAATGATAAATAGATGACAGATAGTAGATAGATAGATAGATAGATAGATAGATAGATAGATAGATATAGATAGAAAGATTAGATGCTTTCACTAAAAGATATGACAGAGATTATGATGAATCAGTTCATTTTATTTTGCTTTAATTTGGTTTATCTTATATAAGTGTCCAAGGCAGGATTAGAACTCACCGTCTCCCAGTTTCACGCCTGATGCTTTCACCGCTATGCCAAACTGGCTCTGTGAGTGTTAATAATTAACCCTAAACCAATTGCACTTCCCTTAGAGCCCCATAGCAGCATTTCATTTATTTGCAGATGGATCTGCAGCAGGCTGAATAAAACTTAATGTTTACCAAGCTGCGGTAAATTCAGGCAGGAGGGACAGATCTGCAAACATTCCCCCCATTGGAGAACAGATGGCCCCGTCCATTAAATCGCCCTCCTTGCTCTTTTTATCTACCAACTCATTACTGAACTTGGAAAAGGGTTTACAGTACATATGACGCTTTTGAATGTACAGGTAGTCCTAAACATACGACCACAATTGAGCCTAAAATTTCCGTTGCTGAGCGAGACGGTTGTTAAGTGAGCTTTGCCTCATTTTACGTCCTTTCTTGTCGCCGTTGTTAAGTGATTCGCTGCAGTTGATATGTTAGTAACATGCAGTGGTGAAATGTAAAATTTGTTACTACTGGTTCTGTGGGCGTGGCTTGGTGAGGGGGGTGTAATATGACTGAGTGGGCGTGGCCAACTTTTTTTTTTTTTTTTACTTTTAAAACCATTTTTTCTACAACCTCTTCGGCTGAAGGGGTTGTTAAAAAAATGCTTTAAAGCCTCTGACGATCCCAGCTGACTTGCCTGATCGGCAGAGGCTTTTTTTCCCCTTTAAAAACATTTTTTTCTATAATCTCTTTGGCTGAAGAGGTTGCAGAAAAAAATGCTTTTAAAAGCCTCTGACGATCCCAGCTGAGCCGCGCAATCATCAGAGGCTTTCTTTTTACTTTTAAAAGCATTTTTTCGGCCAAAGAGGTTGTAGAAAAAATGCTTTTAACGTTTTTTTAAAAAGCCTCTGACGATTGCGCGGATCAGCTGGGCAATGGGGGGGAGCAGGGATTTTTGCTACTGGTTCTCTGAACCACCCGCCTCCATCGCTACCGGATCGGGCGATCCGGTCCGAACCGGGAGCATTTCACCCCTGGTAACACGGTTGTTAAGTAAATCTGGCTTTCTCATTGACTTTGCTTGTCATAAGGTCTCAAAAGGTGATCCTATGATGATGGGATAGATGGTATGGATTTGTGACATTTGCATTGTCCTGGGATCATGTGATCTAAGAGGATGCCACCAAGAGGAGGGGGCTTATTATTTATTTTCCAAAGCACCAGAGGCCAGGAGAAGAAACAATGGATGGAAACTAATCGAAGAGAGAAGCAATCTTGAATTAAGGACAATTAACCAGTGGAACAGCTTGCCTCCAGAAGTTGTGAGTGCTTCATCACTGGGAGAAGACAGCTACTTATCTGAAATGGTATAGGACTGTGATGGCGAACCTATGGCACGCGTGCCACAGGTGGCACACTGAGCCATATCGGTGGGCACGCAAGCGTTGCCCTAGCTCAGCTATGGTGCGCATGCGTGAGCCAGCCAGCTGATTTTTGGGCCTTTTGGGCCCACCGGAAGTCAGGAAACTGGCCATTTCCTGCCTCCAGAGGGCCTTCGGAGGGGTAGGGAAGGCTGTTTTTGTCCTCCCCAGGCTACAAGAAAGCAGGGAGCAGGGAGTTGGACTAGAAGACCTCCAAGATCCCTTGTAGCTCTATTCTGATTGATAGGTTACCATTTGTAACCTTTCCAGATGGCTTCTGACAACCAGAGGCAATGAGGGAAGCCAGATTCTCTTAACCATCCCATGATTAATTTAACAACAGTGACAAAAAAGGTTGTAAAATGGAGCACAAGCTACTTAGCAATGCTTAGTCTTGCTTAGCAATGGAAATTTTGGGCTCATTTGCGGTTGTAAGTCAAACCTATTGTGCACCAGAAAGTATTTAGAACAGTGTTTCTCAACCTTGGTAGCTTGAAGATGGGTGGACTTCAATTCCCAGAATCCCCCAGCCAGCAGCGCTGGCTGGGGGATTCTGGGAATTGAAGTCCACCCATCTTCAAGCTTCCAAGGTTGAGAAACACTAATTTAGAATTCTTTATTGGCCAAGTGTGATTAGACACACAAGGAATTTGTCTCTGGCGCATAAGCTCTTAGTGTACATACAACAATAGTGATAGATCATTATCATAGTCGTTGTAAAAATACATTCATCATAAAACATGAGATACAACACTTAGTGATAGTCATGGATACTAAATAAGCAATCTACACAGAAGAACTTATATAGAAGTTGATATAGTTGTATATAGAAGAACTTGATGTATCTGCTGTGCTCATCAAAATAGGGATGTCCCATGGACTGCAAGGAGATCCAATCAGTCAATCCTAAAGGAAATGAACCCTGACTGTCCTTTGGAAGGACAGATCCTGAAGCTGAAGCTCCAATATTTTGGCCACCAAATGAGGAGGGAGGAGAAGCCCCCTGATGTCAGAGAAGATGGAAGGCAAAAGGAGTAGAGGACGGCAGAGGATGAGATGGTTAGATGGTCTCATCAACACAATGAACATGAATTTGGGCAAACCACAGGAGACGGCAAAGGACAGGGTAGGGATGGGGGTGACATGCTGTGGTCCATGGGGTCACGAAGACTTAGCGACTGAACAACAATAATTGTCAAAAGATGATGGAAGCTGTAGGCAAGTCCTAAAAGGTGGAATTAAGCATTGGCTCATGGACTCCACCTCAAACAGCAAGCTCTGTTCAGAACAGACAAAGAGGTGGACTCCATCCTCATCTAGATGTCTATGAAGATTCTCAGTCATCCAGGCCATGAAAACCAGCTGTCTTCTCTGTCCAAAATGTGGACCCCTCTTTGTTGAAAGAGGGATTAAAGAGGCCATCCATGTCAAAATTGAACAGCCCTCTCTCAACAGAGGGGGAGGGATACAACATCATCTATCTCCAGTCTACGACACAGTCCTTTCAACAGTTCCAAGAAGACTCCACACTCATTTTCACCACTCAGGTAACCCTGAGGACACAGATAAATCTCCAAGTGGCCTCAATGACTGGCTAAAAAGGATGCTAACGACCAGCTGTCTGCAAGGAGTATAAATCCTTCCATTCCCCACCATCCAGTCAGAGCTGAAGAAGCTTCTTGGATAAGAAGCGAAACATCTTCAGAGAAAAACCAGAAAGTCCAGTAGCCTCTTGAAAAAGAGCGGGACATCCTCACCTAGGTACCATTTATGAAAACCATCCCCAGAGCAGGCTGACTATCCTATTCAGGGATTGTCTGGGGGTTCGCAGGGGTTCGGGAGAACCTCTAGCTAAGATTCTGTGCAGTTTGGAGAGCCCCCAAATCCCACTCCTGGCTGGCCCCGCCCACCCCGCCTTGCCCCTCCCAAGCGGCCCATTTTGGATGCAGGTAAGGGCAGGGCGCGTGTGGACGCTCAGGGAGGGCAAAAAACGGGCCTACTGGAAGTTTGGGAAGGCCAGAAACAGGCCCGTTTCTGGCCTCCAGAGGGCCTCCGGAGCCTGGGGAGGCTATTTTCCCCCTCCCGGAGGCTCAAGGAAAGCCACTGGAGCCCAGGGACGGAAAAACACACCCTCCCACCGTGGTGCAGGAGGTCGACTAGGCCACACCCACCATGGCCACACCCACCCAGCAACCAGGCAGAGAACCCCTTGCCAAAATCTTTGAATTCCGCCCCTGGTCCTATTTGCTAACTGCCTACAGCCCTGAAAATATGCATAGGTATCTGTGGAATGTTTGATTCCTGTCCGTGAAGGAAAATCCATCAAGGAAGACTTCAGTTCCTCAGATTTGGGGTTTGACCACTCCACCTACATGAAATTCTCAGATACACAGAGAGCTGTTGGTCCAAGCTTTTGTTGACTGTTCCTGCTCGGCCCCAGAAAGTCGGGAGGAAATATCCCACAACCTTCATATTTGGATTTTGAGCCACCTCCAAATAGTTTGAAGCGTATTTGGAGATGGGGATAGACCCAGGCTTTGTGGAGGGGCCTCTGCCAGATAAATCTTGAAAAGAGGATATTCATCAAGGAAGAAACACCTAAATTTGTTTCCAGTGAGCATTTCTACCTCAATGGTTGACTTCTTCATGGTGGCCTTGTTGAGAAACCGAAGTCCCGTCTTCCCTTTTAAAGAAACAAACCTTCACCCCTTCAAGAATTTCCAGCTGTCTGCAAAGAAAACCCTCCTTTCCCAAAAGAACAAGATTTAGTTTTAAAATTTTCTTATTTTACAGGTTTATTCTTGGTTCCTCACTCACATCTTTAAGGACTCGAGGATCTGTTCCCCCAACTTCCTAGGATAGACCAATTTATGCTTTTCAGAAAACAAATAATAAAAAGATGTGTACAAATCTCTTTAGCAGGAAAAGATTTGTAAGTAAAGTAGAAATATAAAGCAACTTTTGAACGCTTTACAAAGAAGACTCAGAAATGCAAACTCCCAAATGATTAGTGAGAATCTGTTGCATTTCACCTAATAAGGAAGTAATTACGGAGCATATTTGTGTATTTTATTTGGTGTTTGTTTATTGTTTTTACAAATAATTCAAGGCAGTGAACACACCGAATATACCTTCCTCCTCTTATTTTACCACAACAACCCTGTGAGGTGGGTAGAGCTGAGAGAGAAGGACTGGTCCAAAGTCATTTTTCATGACTAAGGCAGGACTAGAACTCACAGTCTCCTGGCAACTGGCTCACAGCCATCAAGCCAGCTTTCATGCCTAAAATGGGAGCAGAATTCAGTCTCCTGGTGATTGCCTGAAAGTCAGTCAGCCCTTTTTCCTGGCTAAAGCAGGACTAGAACTCACAGGCTCCTAGTGATCGGCCAAAAGTCAGCCAGCCCACTTTCCTGCCTATATCAGGACTGGAACTCACAGTCTCCTGGTGATTGGCTCAAAAGTCAGCCAGCCCTGTTTCCTGCTTAAAGGAGGACTAGAACTCACAGTCTCCTAGTGATTGGCCAAAAGTCAGCCAACCCACTTTCCTGCCTCAATCAGGACTAGAACTCAGTCTCCTGGTGATTGATCCAAAGTCACCCAGTCAGCTTTCACAGTCTAGAACTCCCAGTCTCTGGTTTCTAGCTAAGAATTAATATTGTTATAATAAACCTCGTTAAAAAAGACTGGTGAATGCCTCTTGGTTCACAAATGTTTCAGAGGTGTCCTTGGAAAAGGAATATTTGGGGCTTAAATAAATCTTTTTTTTCCCCAAAAAAACTTGAGACTCTTCCTTTTGTTTATACCACTCAATTTCCAGGACTTGTGCCTGATTCAATGGCACTTAAATGTAAATATTATTACTCATTCTGTACTTTTATGTTCCTCCTTTATATTTTTACTGGCCTTTGAGATTATCCTCCTGTTTTGTTAAAAACCCTCCTCTTTCATTACAGGTAGTCCTCGACTTACGACCGCAAGGGCAGCCAAAGGGCCAAATGTGGCTGGGGGGGGCATAAAAGGCCCCGATTTGGTCTAAGACAGGGGTCTCCAATCTTGTCAACTTTAAGGCTTGTGGACTTCAATTCCCAGAATTCCTCAGCCAGCTTTGCTGGCTTAAAGTCTTAAAGTTGACAAGGTTAGAGACCCCTGGTTTAAGAGAACTGCCAGAACATTTGCATAAGGCATTTTCAGGTCATTGGGAAAAGTCCTCAAAGGTAACCAGAATTAAGAAGCTCACCAACCGTGGTGAAGAATGTCATGGTCCATGAGCTTCTGCATCAGCCGGATGCCTGTCTCACGGTCAGGGGCCTCTTTGTGGTCAATCAACCAGTCGATGAGCTCCTTGGCCACGAAGCAATTCGGGTAGGTGCGGAGGTGATAACGGCGATCCTTTATAAGCTTGCCGTCATGAAGACGAAGCCTAGGAGGGAAAAATAGCAATAGTAATAGCAATAGTACTTAGATTTATATACCGCTTCATAGTCCTTTACGGCCCTCCAGAAGTGGTTTACAGAGTCAGCCTATGGCCCCCCAACAATCTGGGTCCTCATTTTACCGACCTCGGAAGGATGGAAGGCTGCCAGGTCAGGTCCGAACTCATGGCTATGGGCAGAGTTAGCCTGCAATACTGCATTCTAACAGTAAGTAAGTAAGTAAGGGAAGGAAGGAAGGAAGGAAGGAAGGAAGGAAGGAAGGAAGGAAGGAAGGAAGGGCAATAGCATTAGCACTTAGATTTATATACCACTTCACAGTGCTTTACAGCCTTCTCTAAGCAGTTTACAGAGTCAGCCTCTTGGCTCCAACAATCTGGGTCCTCATTTTACCAATCTCAGAAGGATGGAAGGCTGAGTCAATCTTGAGCCGGTCAGGTCACGTTCGAACTCATGGCTGTGAGCAGAGTTAGCCTGCAATACTGCATTCTAAACGTAAGTAAGTAAGTAAGTAAGTAAGTAAGTAAGTAAGTAAGTAAGTACAGAAGGAAGGAAGGAAGGAAGGAAGGAAGGAAGGAAGGAAGGAAGGAAGGAAGGAAGGAAGGAAGGAAGGGCAATAGCAATAGCAATAGCAATAGCAATAGCAATAGCACTTAGATTTATATACCACTTCACAGTGCTTTACAGCCCTTTCTAAGCAGTTTACAGAGTCAGCCTCTGGCTTCCAACAATCTGGGTCCTCATTTTACCAACCTCGGAAGGATGAAAGGCTGAGTCAACCTTGAGCCAGTCAGGTCAGGTCCGAACTCATGGTTGTGGGCAGAATTAGAACTGCATTCTAACCATAAGTAAGTAAGTAAGTAAGTAAGTAAGTAAGTAAGTAAGTAAGTAAGTAGGGAGGGAGGGAAGGAAGGAAGGAAGAGTAAGTAAGTAAGGAAGGAAGGAAGGAAGGAAGGAAGGAAGGAAGGAATAAAAATAATAAAGGGGGGAAATGAATGAATGAATGAATGAATGAATGAATGAATGAATGAAAAAATAAATAAATAAAATGAAAAACCCATCAGCCAATTACTGATGGAGAAGATGGACTGTTCATTTTAAAATTCCACTATGAAGCAAAGTTTAACTGAAACTTGAACTAGGCAACCTAACCCCAAACCCTCCAGATTTATGGCTCTAGAATCCTGGGTGGAACCTAGGAGCAATGGAGGGGAGCGTCTCCAGGGAACAGGTTCTTCTCCAAAACTTGGCCTGAAGCCCAGAACGTCCCAAGCGATGGCTTTGCTCCGTCAAGGTCTCTCTGAGGACAGAAGAACAGCCCTGACCTGCGGTGAGAACATTAAACAAAAATAAATCACGCAATATCTGATTCCACCAAGTTTCTCCAGGGCCATTTTTTCAAATTCTGTTTTGGTTTAAACAAAAGACCGACGCTTCAGAGACTCAGACGTCTCTCGTCCTAGTGGGCTAAAATCTCATTTTGATATTTTTGACCAGAATTTATTCCTCTACGCCAGGGGTGGGCCTCTATGCCAGTGTGTTAATAAGAGTGAGTTTGTAGTCTGGACATAGACTACATAGGCGTAGAGTAGAGGTGGGCAACTATGGCCCTTTTATGACTTGTGGACTTCAACTCCCAGAATTCCTGAGCCAGCCATGTTAGCTCAGGAATTCTGGGAATTGAAGTCCACAAGTCATAAAAGGGCCATAGTTGCCCACCTCCGCTCGACGCCATGTCCAGACTACAAACTCACTCTTATTAACACACTAAAATATTTATCCTTCTTTGCTTGACTGGGAAAAGTGAGGAGTAGGTGAAAAGAGAAGGATACTTTCAGGGAAGTGGTGGGTTACCCCCGGTTCAGACTGGTTTGCAAGAACCGGTAGTAAAACCGGCGGGAAGCCCCGCCCACTGCCCCGGATGTTGTCATCGGTGATCTGAGCATGCACAGAATCCCGTTGCGAACCGGTAGTGGTTCAGGGGTGGGTTTCACATATTCTTGTCACCAGTTCCCGTGCGCATACGCCTTCCGTGCCCTCGCTTCATGCACTCATGTGCCTTCTGCGCAAAACGTGGCTAAATAGGACGGCATTACATCCGGGTGGGTGGACGCCCACTCGCAGTCTCCGCTACCAGTTTGCCCGAACCGGACAAAACTGGCTGAATACCATCTCCCTGAGTCTTCGGAGAGGGGCGGCATATAAATTGAATTAATTAAATCTCTGGATACATTGCCTCTTTACTTTTAAGATTTGCTGAGGGTATTCTAAAAATAAGCCCGCGGTGTCCATTTGCTTTCTAAACCAGCATTTCCTTAACCCTGGCAGCTTTAAGATGTGTGGACTTCAACTCCCAGAATTCCCCAGTCTCCTTGATAAGTTTCCATCTATTGCTTCTTCTCCTGCCTTCAGGTGCTTTGGAAAATAGGTCGACTTCTTCTCTGTGACAGCCTCTCAAATGTTGGAAGACTGCTATCATGTCTCCCCTGGTCCTTCTTTCTCTCTTTTTTTTAACAGTTTATTTATATATTTTCACATTACATATCTAAGTACTTAGTGAACAGTATATTGTCTGGATCAATTTATTTATATATAGTAATACGTTTCCCACTCCTAATTTCTACCTCTGCCATCCAATCATTTATAAAACAAGCCCCATGTTCGAAAATACTCTCTGTATCTTCTTTTTTCTTTTATTTTTAGTGTCAATCTGTCCATTTCTGTACAACCTAAATTTTTTTTTAATTACATCGTCCTCTGTAGGTGTTCCCTCATTTTTCCAGTACTCTGCAAATACAATTCTTGCTGCTCAGCAGTGGGTTTCACATTATGCTACTACCGGTTCGCCCCGTGCGCACTCACTTCATGCACACGCCTGCCTTCCGTGCATGTGCTTTGCCTGTATCCACGCCTTCCACGCATGCGCCTAGCCTCAAAAACATACCTAAATAGGATGGCTAGAGCCGGGGTGGGTGGGTGGAGCAGGCCCACCTGCGATTTCCGCTACTGGTTCAGACGAACCAATCTGAACCGGCTGAATACCAGCTCTGTTGCTGCTGTCAAAACCAGAGATGCATTTCAGTAGGTTCTGACCAGTTCTGGCGAACCGGTAGCGGAAATTTTGAGTAGTTCGGAGAACCAGTAATAAAAATTCTGACTGGCCCCGCCTCCATCTATTCTCTGCCTCCCGAGTCCCAATTGATCGGGAGGAAATGGGGATTTTGCAGTATCCTTCCCCTGGAGTGGGGAGGGAATGGAGATTTTACAGTATCCTTCCCCTGCCATGCCCACCAAGCCATGCCCACCAAGCCATGCCACGCCCACCAAGCCATGCCACGCCCACCAAGCCACCCACAGAACCCACCACTGGTCAAAACATGTAATATTAAGTATAGGTTCCCTTTATCATACTTTTCAGGTATTATGCCTAGCAAAAATATTTCTGGCTTCTCATCTATATGTTGTTTTAATGTTTTTCCCAACCATGTATCTATTTTTGTCCGCTTCTAGTCCTTCTCTTCATTAAGTTAGATATACCCAGTTGCCGCAACACATTTTCGCATCTTGCTTCATTCTGTGGAATCTCAACCAGGAACTATAAATGTTCTTTGTAAAGGACAAATATAACCAGCTAAGAAATCTGGTTTGACAAGAACTGGTTTTTCTCTCAGAAAAACCCATTTAAACCAAAAGTGACTGTTAATTTACAATGAACCCCGATTAGCCTCAAATCCAGATTGTCAGAGATAAAAACGAATGGGTTGGCAAAAGAGAAAAAGTGTCTATGTGAAAAAGAGTTCAGCGGAATTTATCAAAATAAAGGAGATAAAGCAAAATAAAGCAAAGGAACTCTGGTGGCTCAGCAGACTAAAGCACTGTTATTAACATCCACTTACATCTGCTGCCTGCAGTTACTGCAAGTTCAAATCTCACCAGGCTCAAGGTTGACTCAGCCTTCCATCCTTTCTAAGGTAGGTAAAATGTGGACCCAGATTATGGGGGCAATAAAATGACTTTATAGAAATATACAAAAGTATGAAGGCTATTGCTTAACGCATTGTAAGCCGCCCTGAGTCTGCGGAGAAGGGCGGCATATAAATCAAATTAAAAAAAAATGTCAAACTGAAAGTCATTGATCCACAGATTCCCCTATGGAAAACAAAGACAAAGATTCAAAGAAGATCCCACTTATATATAGTCCCGGAGAATTCCTGTAGAGGTAGCCCACGATGTTCAACCAGAATTGAGACCAGAATTTCCATTGGTAAGCAAAGTGGTTGGTTGTTTTTTTTTTTTTTTTGAAAAAATAGTTTTTATTAAACATTTTTCACCTTTAAAAACAAAAAACAACAGAAGAAAAAAAAACAAGAGAAAACAAGACAAACGTAACCATGTAGAGTCGTTTTACAGCCTTCCGTATCAGCATATATGTTCTGTTTTTATAATTCGTACTTCTACATTGCCTTCCTATCGGTTATAACAACTATAATGATGTAATAACAATTAGAACAATACTAATTACTCATATCTACATTATACTTACGTTATAACCAGTAATTTAGATTTAATAATAATTGGTGATTTTGGTTAATATTTAATCAATATTAATTTAAAACTCCTACTTCTTGTTTTGGCTTCTGTTCTCTAACCACTTATACATTCTATTCCAAACTTTAGAATAATCCGATTCTTCTCTTTCTTTGAATCCATGGTCATTTTGTCCATTTCTGCACACTCGAGTATCTTTCTAATTACTATTTCATCTGGGGTGAAATGTAAAATTCGTTACTACTGGTTCTATGGGCGTGGCTTGGGGGTGGTGGTAATGTGACTGGGTGGGCGTGGCCATTTTTTTTTTTTTTTAACTTTTCAAAGCATTTTTTCTAATGCTTTGAAAAGGCTCTGCCGATCAGGCAACTCAGCTGGGATCGTCAGAGACTTTTCAAAGCATTTTTTTTACCACCTCTTCGGCCAAGAGGTTGCAGAAAAA